ACAAAATAGACAAACCTCTAGCCAGGCTCACAAAGTAAAAAACGGGAGAAAACACATATAAATAGGATAATAAATGAACGAGGAGAAATCACAACAGATTCAGTAGAAATCAAAAGAATCATCACAGATTACTATGAACACTTACATGCAAACAAAATCAACAACAAATTGGATGGACAAATTCCTGGAATGATATAGTCATCCAAAGCTGGACAAAGAAGAAATAGAACACCTAAACAGACCAATTACAAGCAGCGAAATTGAGGCAGTAATCAAAGCACTCCCCAAAAATAAAAGCCCAGGTCCAGATGGCTTCACTAATGAATTCTACCAAACGTTCAGCAGTGAATTAGTGCCTATCCTACACAAACTCATTAAAAGAAATTGAAAAAGAAGGAATACTACCAAATACGTTCTATGAAGCCAACATTACACTAATAACAAAACCCAACAAAGACACCACAAAAAAAAATTATAGGCCAGTCTCCCTAATGAACACTGATGCAAAAATCCTCAACAAAATCCTTGGCAAAAGAATCCAACAATGCATCAAAGGGATAATACACCATGATCAAGTGGGATTCATCGCAGGGGCACAAGGATGGTTCAACATAGAAAAATCCATCAGTATAATCCCAACACATGAACAAAAAGAAAAATAAAAAACATATGATCATATCAATAGATGCTGAGAAAGCATTCAACAAAGCCCAACATCCATTTATGGTGAAAGCCCTAGAAATTCTCGGGATAGAAGGAAAATACCTTAATGTGATAAAAGCCATATATGACAAATATTATTCTCAATGGCGAAAAGCTGAAGGCCTTTCCTTTAAGATCAGGAACAAGACAGGATGTCCTCTCTCACCACTGCTCTTCAATATAAAACTGGAGATTCTAGCCAGGGCAATAAGACAAGAGAAAGACATACAAGGAATCTAGATGGGGAAAGAAGAAGTAAAACGATCACTATTTGCAGACAATACGATAATATACATAGAGAACCCTAAAAACTCCACAGAAAAAACTACTCAAAATAGTCAACCGGTTCAGTAAAGTAGCAGGATACAAAATCAACACACAAAAATCAGTAGCCTTCCTATACACAATCAATCTGAAGAAGAAGAGATCAAGAAAACCATCCCTTTTATAATTGATACCAAAAAAATCAAATACTTGAAAATAAATCTAACAAAAGAGGTACAAGACATATACAAAGAAAATTATAAAACGCTGTTAAAAGAAATAGAAGAAGTCACAAAGAAATGGAAAGACATGCCATGCTCATGTATTGGGAGAATTAACATTATTAAAATGCCCATCCTACCAAAAGCAATATATAGATTCAGTGCTATTCCAATAAAAATCCCCATGACATTCTTCAAAGAAATAGAACAAGTATTGATGAAGTTCATATGGAACCACAGAAAACCACGAATAGCCAATGTCCTACTGATGGGGGAAAAAAAAAGGAGAAAGGAGGTATCACACTCCAAACTTCAAGCTATACTACAAAACCATAATAATTAAAACAGTTTGGTATTGGAACAAAAACAAACACACAGACCAATGGAACCGAATAGAGAGCCCAGAAATAAAACCACACTCATATGGACAACTGATCTTTGACACAGGAGCAAAGAATATGCAATGGAACATGGACAGTTTGTTCAATAAATGATGCTGGGAAAACTGGACCACCACATGCAAAAAAAAAGAAACTAGACCACTACCTTTCACCGTGCACACAAAAATAAACTCAAAATGGATAAAAGAACTGGATATAATACCTGAAACCATAGCATATATAGAAGAAAATATAGGTAAAACACTACAAGACATACATCGCAATACCATCTTTAAAGGCTCATCACCAAAAGCAAAGATAGTCAAGGAAAAGATAAACACCTGGGATCACATCAAACTGAAAAGCTTCTGCACAGCAAAAGCGACATTAACCAAAACAGAGAGACACCCCACTGATTGGGAAAAAATCTTTGCATTCCAGTCAACTGATAAGGGACTGATTACAAAGATATACAAAGAACTCTTAAGACTCAACAAAAACAAAATAAACAATCCAGTCAAAAAATGGGCAGAAGAACTTAAAAGACATTTCTCCAAAGAGGAAATGCTAATGATCAACAGGCATATAAAAAAATGTTCAACATCCCTTATAATCAGGGAAATGCAAATTAAAACCACATTGCGATACCACTTTATACCAGTAAGAATGGCACATAACAAAAAACAAGCAACAACAAATGTTGGTGAGGATTTGGTGAAAAAGGAACTCTCCTACATTGCTGGTAGGAGTGCAAACTTGTCCAACCACTGTGGAAAGCTGTCTCGAGGTTCCTCAGGCTACTAAAAATGGAGCTACCATATGACCCGGCAATTCCTCTCCTAGGGATCTACCCAAAGGACACAAAAACATTGATTCAAAAGAACACCTGTACCCCTGTTTATTGCAGCACTATTTACAATAGGCAAAACCTGGAAACAACCCAAATGCCCAAAAATAGATGACTGGATCAAGAAGATGTGGCATATACACACAATGGAATATTATTCAGCAATCAAAAAAGATAAATTCATGCCATTTGCAGCAACGTGGATGGAACTAGAAGGAATTATGCTCAGTGAAATAAGCCAGAAGGAAAAAGACAAATACCGGGTGGTTTCACTTATCGCAGGAATATAGGGGAACCAAATAAGACATCAGTGTAAAAAAATAACAGTACAAATCACAACAAAGCAAAAATGGACAATTATAAATCAGAGACATCCTGCAGGGGAGGAGGAGGGAGAGGGATCAGAGGGAGGGAGTAGTACAGGGAACTGAGGTGGTGGTGCGCAGGTGCATTGGTGAAGGACTCTATGGGGACTACACCTGAGGGGGTGGGGAAAACAAATATTGTTTAAAAATGAACAATGATGTAAAAAATTAAAAAAAATTAATTTTAAAAAAATAAGGAAAAAAACTTAAAAAAATAAAAGCTAGCCCTGTCCATTATAAAATGTAGAAAATATAGAAAAGTCTAAAGAAGAAAATCACTTGAAATTCCAACACTAAGGGACAACTACTTTTAACATTTTGTTGATTTCTTCCTAGTTTTCACTTTTAAAAATACTCTTCAGCATTTATATTGAGATATTACATCTCATTTCAATATGTGACATTCAGTGACATTTTCAGATTCTTTAGTTGCAACTAACTAATGATTTTATTTCATTCCTGTTTATAACTCTATTAAAAACTTATTTTTTACACATTTCCAAACCTTGAAACAGGGAGGAGTCTCATAATTTATATACTTGGCAGATTTAGTAACTTGGAAATCTTTATGTATGTTGATTTCAAGTTTTATTAAGTCACTCACCCAGAGAATGCTTCCTGGCAGGTTCTTCATTTTCAGGAATGTTTTAAATTTTCCAATGGGGGTTTATTGGAAGATCATGAGGAAATTCTGAAGATGTCAAAGCTGGAAAAATGTTTACTAGCTGGTACAATTAGTAAATTTGAAGTAGATGTATTACCTCCCTTTATTTTTTTAAAAACTTTAATAAGGGTACCAAACAGTACAAATTGTGAGGCATTTTCAAGAATAGTAACTAGCTGTATAATGAGATTGAATGATGTTTAAGTTTTTGGACTACTTAACACAGTTGGCTGCTCAGTTAAATTATTTGGTTCTTCAGATAGTGTAGGTGCTTTTTTCCCTTCAAAAAACTGTTCTCAGTAACTGTACTCAATTAAAAATTTTGTGAATATTTGACATTCAGTTAAATGTATAGGCATTATTGATTGCATTTATGAATGGTAAATTTTATGTATTTCTGCAAGTTATATGCAAGATATGCATTCTTATTTTTTTCCCTTTTGCTTCTTTCTAGCACATTCTACCTCCCACCACAGTCCGAACTGTGATGCACATAGTGATTCCAGAAATGTGTAACTTGTATTATTTGGCAAGTCAGAGTCATGATTTGCTGTCTTAATCTTAAAAGTGATTTGTTTCAAAGCTAAATAACATTGTAGCATTACCTTACATTCTTTTTCTAAATAAACTGATAAAGAGATAAAGGATTGATGCTGTTTAAGGGGAGAAAGAATAAATAATAAATCCTGAAAATAGAATAGAGGCACTGTTTACTTAATAAGTTTATTACATTGACCAGAGAGGATTCTTTCTCCTCTAAAGCTAAGATTGTTCACGGGAGAGGAAATTGACTTACTGTATTCTGTCCAGTGGAAGAAGTGGTATATGTGATATGATCCTGTTATATTTGAGTTCATTTATTTGGGGGAACAAAGATACAAAATATTCGCTTAATGTATTCTTAAGAAGAATGGGAAGCATGGAACCAAAAGTTTACATTTTCACAAAATGTTTACATTTTGATGCAGGCAGTTTCCTTTTTCTATCTAATCTAGGTTTGATGTAATGCTTTTATTGTTTTTGCTTTTCCTTCAAGCTCTCCTGCCTGTCACAGACATGTAAAATCCTAGAAGTTAATTTGAAATACTTGGGAGGAAATGTTACCATTATTTTGTGATAAAATATTACATACCTTGTCTATCAAACTTAATGAAATAAAGTTACTCATGTTGAAAATTTTATTCAAATACTAGAGGTAGAATAAAAGTAGTAAATGTCTTTCCTAAAATTTATTTTGGCCCCTTTTAAATTGTTCCTTTGGTGGTGTTTCAACTAGTTTAACTCAAAAGCATTTGATGAAAAATATTAACTGTTTCTTAAAATATGTTTGTAGTTTATATGTCAAGTCATTTGTTGAAATGGTAAATGAAACTTAGTTTTTGGTAATTATGCCCATGTTGTGCTCTTCTATCTGAGACATACATCTTCAAAAAAGTTGAATAGAAAAATAGTCTCTCACCAACCAGAATGGCTATTTTCATGTTTTTGTTGTAGGGTATAACATTTATAAGAATATAATTAGTTTTTTTTTTCTTTTTCTACTTTTTTTCTCCACAGCCTCATGATTTTGATGAATGTCGATTTGATATTAGTGTAAATGATAGTGTTTGGTATCTTCGTGCTCAAGATCCAGATCACAGACAACAATGGATAGATGCCATTGAACAACACAAGGTAGGATCTCCATTGTTAACTTGTCCATAGAGACTAAGCAAGAGACTGGTGGGATCCCTTAAAAAAAAAATCTTGATTGGCATATAGAAAAAACAGATGAACTAAATAAAACAAAAATGAATTTTTCAACTGTAAGATCAGTTAGTGGTTACTAAAAGGAAAGAGAGGGGAAATTGGAGTGAGTTAATCAGGACAAAGGGGACAGTGGTATGATGAAGGATAGAATGGGATGTTTATACATATGTTAAGTCTAAGAGATACACATCTGAAACTTATGTAACATTGTAATACAATGTTACTTCTGTTAAGGGGGGATTATTAAATACCTTCTCCAGGTCATATTTCTAAAAAAAGAAAGAAAATCTTGAGATGTAACTTGTGTTATTAAAGAGTTAAACATTATTTGGATGATAACAATTAAACAATATAGCTAACAAATATTTGAAATGATTTTATTTTTTGGAAACTATTAGATTCATATTTATTTTAAGTCCATTATTACGTTAGTAGTAGTAGTAGTAGTAATGATGAAGTACTGTTGTTTTACATCCTTGTTAGTTATTTGACAGTATAGGATTTGTCCTCTCTTAACCACCAAAGCACCTGTAGTTCTCTGCTATAGTCCATTGTGCTCATTTTCCCCACCCCCTGCTTCCTTCTGTTCCTTCCCTGGATACCTCAGGTCTATGGTCAGCTTCCAAGGGTTGATTTTAATTTTTACCTTTGGCCCTTTGTTTGGTATCTATTTCACATATAAGTGACACCATCTGATATCTTTCTCCTTCTGGCTTATTTTGCTTACCATAATCCCTTACAGCTCCATCCATGTTGCTGCAAATGGCATGAGTTAATCTGTTTTGATAATGAGCATTCTATATTTTTAATACACATATATATATATTCACCACGATTCTGTTTTTAACATTTGACTTCCACTAAGGGAATTTGCTATGATATGTATTTTTAATCATTAATTAAAACAAGTCTATTTAATTTTTGTAAGTATGGAGCTATCTTATAATAAGCCTTTAGAAAATTTCATATAAAATTTTAAGCTACATTCTTATAATTAAAGCTACTCTTTGACTTCTGCTATGGAGTAAACTGCATTAACTAAATCAGTGATTCAAGGTAAAACAAGAAATAAGGAAAGTTATAAATTCACCCTGTTTTTCCTGAGTGTGACTTAAAAGAACCTTGTACTTATTCACATACTTGTCTCTACTTGTTTATTTGGGTTTCGCAGAGTTGTAGTAGAAACACCTGTTTTAGTTATTGAATAGGCAAAAACCACCTACATACACATATACATATACACATAAGCAAGAAAAACCTGTCTGGCTTGGGCTAACACAGGTATATTATTCTTGATATTGATCTTGTAGGAGCTTTTATTTCTTTATTATTGATTATGATTATGAGTTTTTCCCAACCATAGAAAACTGGCTATGATGCCTTTGTTTTTCCCCCATTTTAACTTTTGTATTAGATTGGTTTAAAATTGTTGTGAATCTTAATTGTCTTGGTATTATTCAGAAAAGGACCTAAAAATGGGAAAACCAGAAACTTTTCTGTTACTTGAGAGAGAGATTGCCTCGAATTTCTGAACCCCAGTGCTTTTGAGCCAGACTGGCATGGATCCAAACACTACAACCTCTGCCATGTATAACATGTGACCTTGAACATGAACATCTACCTCTTCTTAGTGCCTACAAGAAATAAATAACATTAAAAAAGTTACTAGAGTGACTGATATATTTTTCCATTTGTTATATATAGTGGAAAAAGCAAGTGCTTTGGAATCACAAAGTTACTAACCTATACCAGGTGGTTTCTAGATAAATAGTTCTGCATTCCCTGAGAGTGACTAAATGTACAAGGACAGTGATCTGATCTGTGTATTTAGTCAGGGCAGCCATCTTGCTCATTAAAAATGTTACTAGGTAAGACTGATTTCTGTGTTTTTAACTGAGATGATCTTTAAAGGCTTATTACCCAGTTGATTTCAATTTCGGGGTTGTTATTTTTCCTTTTTTTTTTAAGATTTTTTTTTTTTTTTTATTTTATGCAAGAACTGGGGTACAGGCCAGATGCGTGGGAGGGTGAGAGGATTCACCAGAGACAGAGCGGGGAACAGAACAGGCAGACTGAGGAAATACACTCAGGGGAGCACTGGGCGCGACAGGAGAGGTCTGCTCGCCATGTGGGACCCTCGCCAGCTGGCCGGGATCGAACCAGCCCTGCAGAGGCTGCGGACAGCTTCACAGCGCTGAGCTCAACCACCTGTGCCACCAGGAGAGGCCCTATTTCCTGTTTTAATTAAGCACTCTTTAATCTTTTTTCCAGATACTTTGAGATATTATTGACTATATATAACATTGTATTAGTTTAAGGTGTTGTACAATATAATGATGTGATAATGTATATATTGCAAAATGATTATTGTAGCAAGTTCAGTATCCATCACCCCACATAGTTACAAACTTTTTTCTTTTTCATAACTTGTAATATTTTCTTTCTTAGCAACTTTCAAATAGTACAGTATTTTTTTTTCATTTGAGATATAATTGACATACAACATTAGTTTTGGATATACAACATGATTAGATATTTGTATATATTATGAAGTAATCACAGTAATCTAACATCTGTCACCTTAACGATCACAAAATTTTTTTCTTGTGATGAGACATTTTATGATCTACCTAATAACTTTAAAATATACAATACAGTATTATTAACTGTAGTTAATAACCATGCTATATATTACATCCCCAGGATTGATTTATTTTACAACTGGAGGTTTGTATATTTTGATTTCTTTACCCTTAATTAAACATATTTTATTTTGCTGATTTTTTTTTTTAGTAAAGCCAAACCAGAATTCCTTGACAAGTTCTCATTTTGTGTTTTCTCCTTGGTAAAAAGGAATGCAGGAAGCCTGTATTTCTTTCATATTATTGGTTTCTTTGCATCTTTGAAAAATAGGTAGATACAGCAGGCCTCCCTGATGGCCCAGGGGTTAAAGTCTCAGCGCTATCAAGCTATCACCAGGCACCACAGCACGAGTTTAATCCCAGGTCAGGGAGCTTACCAACATGGTGCAGCAGACCTCTCCTGTTTCACCCACAGCTCCCCTCAGCAATGTATTTCCATCAATCCTCCTGTTCTGCTCCCCGCTCTGTCTCTGGTGAATCCTCTCACCCTCGCACCTCTGGCCTGTACCCCAGTTCTTGTATGCATAAATAAATAAAAATCAATCTTTGAAAAAAGGTAGGTAGATACAATCTTTGGGGCATAGAGCAGTGCACATAAGCTGAGATAACAGATTCGGAGAGATTTAAGTAGGTTTCTAGATACCTTGTATAGAATTTTCCCTTTTGATTTTTAAAGATAATTTATTCTTAGACAAGGAAGAAATCATTGTGTTATTCTTATAATACTTTATTTTAATGTGCAAAGCAAAGTATGTGATCTATGCCAAATAAATATATCAGTGACATTTTAAATTGAATCTTAAAAATAAATTGTTAGAATTATTAACCAAACATATAGGAGGAAGAAAAGTCAGATGCTATCACCAATCATAATCAGCAAAGTGTATTTTCTTTCTTATTCCGGGAATAGGGAGATAGTGAGGAAATGTTTCCTGATTCATTCTTCAGTAGCATTGAAGAATACTGAACTGGAACCTAGATTTAGTAATTTTACTATTTAAACATGCATTGCCGTATTGATATTCAGAATTAATAGCAAATCGTAGTGGGGATGATAGGGGGTACTGTTTATTGAGGATCACCAAGTACTAATTATTGTATACTTTGAGAGCTTTATTTTCTCCCTGTTACTCTGAGAGGTGAAAGAAGCATATTTTACAGAAAAAGAAACTGAAGTTTAGCTTAAACTTAAGTAACTTGCGTACACTATGCTACTTTTTATCTCACTGTTTCTTAGGATTCAATTTTATGTAGATTCTGCTTTCTGTCAGTTATTATTGGTAGACTCTTGAATGTTTAAAAATATTTAAGTAAGCTATCCCCTGCAGATTAGAGTGTATCATCTGAGGTGTACTACTTGACTTTCTGTCCATGGATTGCCAAAAAGAGCATTATATTATATTGGTTAGTGTTTGAGTACTGGACTGAGGAATCTGACAAATAATGGATTCAGTCCTCTACTCTTACTAACTGTGTGACTTTGATAAGTTATTTAAAGGAAGAAAGATGGCAGGCAGTATGTAGTATGTGTACTTCTCCATCCCAGCACCCACCTCTAACACTGCTACCAAAACAAAAACAAGCAGGCAAGCAAAATAACCTAGAGATATGATAAACTAAGAGTATTGTGCTTCAGAGATATCCTGGGTTCCCATCATTCCATCTATTCAGTTCATAGTTACTTCATTGTTGTACCACCTGTTTTTAGGATAATTGGACAGGATATTTGAAACAATTTACCTGTCTTTTTAACTTCTGATACCATCGATTGGGCTTTCATTGCCTTTTGCCTTTGTTAAGACAAGCTCTAGAAGGAATTGGAGGTTTTTCTTCTTTCCTTCCCAGAAGTCTGTATCCTCATTTTAATAACGTCTGTGTATTAATTTGTTTCGCAAACACACACACTAGGAGTTATATCTAAGAGAACCTCTTCAATAATAATAATAAGGTCATTGTGGTGGTAATGATTAGCTAACGTATTTTGAGGATTGATGTGTGGCCAATATGGTGATAAACACATATTTATCTCATTTTCACTCTCACAGTCTTAAGAGGTTAACATTATTAACCTGTTTTTACAGAATAGAAAACAGACACAAATTAAGTAACTTTTCCAAGGTCAAGCTGCTAGTTAGTTGGTAAAGTGAGCCAGCACTCAGGCCCAGGTCTTTCTGACCTACGAACCAGAACTTTTGGCCAGCAAGCACTTCTGCCATCCTTTAAGTATGTATTTCTGTGAAATGTTTTTTGTTGAGTTGAATCATAAGCTTCTTGAATCAAAAT